TCACACCATCTGCCACAGTGGCTGACAGAGATGCGGTTTACGCAGAAGGCTTGGGGGAGGTCTCATTCGCCGTGGCAGACTCACTCCAACGCCACCTCTCCAGTCAAAACAAAAACACAAGGACTACGTTTTCCATTCAAAACACACACACGTTCTCACTTGTGGTGACACATGGCATCTCAATACATTTGTTCAGACACAGTGTGATTTTCAAAGGCAAAGTGCTGGTCTCTCAAGCTCGCAACAATACCTCCACATAAGAACATTTACACATGTGTACACAGGAATAAGCACAATCCACAATCCCTGCTATAAACCGTTTTTAGACACTAAATTCAGTACAAAGTCACAGCTTCCGTGCACAATAGCAAACAAACAGTCATTAGCAGATTTCAAGCTGCCTTTTAGTTCTGCTTGACACTGTTGTTGGTGTTCCTGCGCCTCTGGGGTGGCGCCACTGCTGTAGGTTTTAATAAAAGCATTGTCTTTGGAAGCTGTCTAATGGGACTTGAATTCATTTTGGAGGGCTGCAGCCGCTGTAGCTATGGTTGTTGCTGTGGATGTGGGAGGAGAGAGGGCTATTGCGCAGGGACATGGAGGCGGCTGGGTTYAGTGTCACTGCAGGACCCTCAGAGGACCGGCGCTTATTGTTGGATAGTTTCAATATACAATGTGTAGGTGTGTGAGAGAGCGGGTTCTGTAGTCAAGCACTGCAGGCACCTGTATAAATTTAGGTATTCCAACCTTGTGCACACAAGTCAAAGCACACAGCTGACACAGTCTACTAAACATTATATAAATAAACACATGACTATTTGGGGTTTGGTGTAAGGTGAGATGAAGTTAACAAGTCCCATAAAACAGACAGTGAAGAGCAGAAATCCTAATGCACTCCAACGTGAAATTGTGATAGCTACAGGATGCTCAAAATAATGAGTTACCTCAAAACGATACACAGGTGTCTATTACRTATTTGGGCTGACCAATTTGTGACACCATTCAGTCAACAGTTAYCCCATCTGTCAGCATTCAAACACCTTGGAAAAAGCCCCTCAAAGGGACATTTGCRTCATTTATGATGAACAATAAGCGCCCGCTCTCAACAGGAGGCCAATGTTACGCCCATGATGAGGTCACATCAAATGTTAATGCCGACATTTGGAACCACAATCCTTTGCCTTCCTTCTGTTTTCACTCTGATCCCACAGGCACCTTTGCATCCCATCAGCAGAAGCTACATGGACACATCTTTAAAGAGGCAAAGGGAATGAAAGAGTATGGCTATCTAGAAAGCAGCAGTAGAGGAAATCCTAATTGYGCCTATAAGTGTGTTCCCTCCTGTGGAGTGAAGGTGCAAGGTAACGGCCATCCTAAATCACAGCTTGGCTGTGGCCTTCATTAAAGCCATAATGCCAGGCTCTCCCTTTAATGGAAATGGAAGGCAGAAAGGCTGTTGGTGTAAATTAAAGTGTAAGGCCCGAGTAGGGAAAGATTTCCCCAGCTCTGACAGGTGCGGCCTGAATTAGCTGTAGTGCTGTTCGAGCAGTCAGTGGGAGAACACTGGTATTGATTTTAAGCACTGTTGCACTTCCTATCTAAAAAGGAATGTGTATTACTCGAGCTAAGCGCATCAATCACTCAGCATTCCACCACTCTCCCTTGGCATGCTTCAGATTTTGAAATGATAAACAAACAGAAACAGACCAAAACAAAAGACTGCACTGGCTGTGCTTGGTACTGTACAGGCTTCGGCTGCATGCATCAGCAGCACACGCCTCATAAAAGGCATCTGTGCGTGCATGCGTTCGGTCCACTTCATTTTATCTTCCTGGAGTTGACAGAATGCCATCTCTATTCAGGGCATGTCCTGCATTGTGTGTCACCTTGGTCAAACAGCTGGCGTCAGCTCCTTGCGCTCTGGSTGCGGCCCACTCCTCTGTTTATGACCTGCATGTGTCAGAGTTGTTACATGCGTGCTGAGCAGCCGCGCAGTGCTGCGCCTCTCTGTGTACAACCCTGCTGCTTATCTCTGCCTTCAATCATACCCCGCTGACCCAGTCTGGAGGCACTCACCGAGGAAGMATTAGCCTTCTTAGCCTATTCCCCACAGGGGTCATCCCATAAACAGACATGCAGACAGCTCAACCACAATTAGACACGTTYATAACCAGACACATACACCTTAAGGTGTGCGATGACAAATGATAAGGCTGTGCTTAACCACAGGTGTCCTGAACGTGACCTCTCACACTTGACCTTGAATGAAATGCTTTTCGTGTAGAGGCTAGCCATCAATCATCTCCCATCAATCACACACAAGCTACATGCTTTCACCTCWCCCCAACCCTCCTCTCCATTACATCCATCACTACACCCCAACCTGTCGCTGACGTCCCTGAGAACATTTCACTCTGACTCTCCCATTCGAGAACACATGCACACAGTGAACCCACAGCCTCACAGTCATCTTTGTCCTGTATTGATGGCTGCGCTAAAATCTGGGCTGTGTTGTCATCTTGTCAGGTGTTTGGTCACATCTATAGGTGCACTGGTGGAGTCGCTCCCCGGAGACGCATCTGAGATGCCAACACCCGCACTGAGACATGACCAATGTGAGTCCTCTGGGAACTGACCACTGCAAAGCAGAGCCTCAGAGGTGACATACTGTAGCTAGGAGCATCCTGAGAAACACTTGTTTAAAACATCACTGGAACAAAAATCTCTCGAGCCCCACACATTTTTGGAAAGTCATGTCTTGGGCAGCAAAGCATTTGTAGCATTTGTGATATTCTAGCACAGAAAGCATGGGATGTTTTTTTTTTCTTCTTCTTCTTTAAACCGTTTTGAATTTATGTTCCCTGAAGGTCATTTTTTACAATACAGGCAGATAATAATGTGTATTTTGAAGAAAGTAATAAWGGTGACTAACTATAAAGGCTACATCTGAAGGTTGCACGAACCCTGCATTGAATTTAAATATACCGAGATGGAGAGGGTCTTATTTTAAATAAATAAAATGAAACAGAAAAAGCAAAGAATCATTCAGCTCTTTCTGCTGGTAATTACACATGAGCGATATACTAATTGGCAGTGTCTTTATGCAGAACTATTATCAATGCCTCTCCAAGGTAGAGGGAAAGTGACGAGGTGGGGTAAACAATAAACTCAAAGCCGAGTCTATTTACACGTGGACGTGGATTGTACAAAATGTCAAYATGAAAACCCAGCAAACAAATATGTATATATATATATATATATATATATATATATATATATATATATTTGACCTATTTTAAATGTATGAACATTAGGAGTGTAACGGTATGCAGGCATTTGGCACAGGTACATTGAAGTACACCATGAATACGTTGGTCACAGATGATCTCACTCTCATATACAGTAGAATCTGTTTCATACTGTATCCAACTGTATTTTGCAATTCACCACATGGCATAAAAGAAGCAGAGGAMGATAAGTTTAAAGGCCCTCTACATCAAACAAAGCATGAATGACTGTTTCACAATAACATACAGAAGAACATACACAATCGCCAGTTTCCTGATTCAGGGTAGTATTGGAGATCAAGAAGTCTACAGATATGGCAAAATAATGTGATATAATGTACATGTTGTTATCCCTATGGTAGGCATTTTGTGTATTTAGTGATATAAAGTGTCACGTTCCCATAATTGCACTTGCTTACTTACAAGCTTGGTGAGCATTTCACATGTTGTTTATGTTGTATTTTAACATTAGCAGACATTATTCAGCTCTGTATTGCTTTTCAATTTTTTATCAAGTCTAGGTCAAATTAAATGAAGGAGACGTTTCTTATTTTGCTTTATTTGTTTTTTGTATTTTTTTTTAATCCTGAAAAATATACCTTTCTGGAGTTTATAAAACTGTCTGCAAATGTTCTATTTGACACAAAGCCCCGAGGACACTGTCCACAGTTCAAATTGGGTTAAAAAAAAAAGACAATACAATGTGACTATTTTTTATAGTGAAGTTAGTAGTTGACAAATCTTGTCTTGCTGTTCATGACCTGCTACCTTAGATCATCACTACTAGCAAGTGTAGTTTGTTTTACTCTCTCTGTTTCTGGGGGAGTTATTGTCCACTTAAAACAAACAAATCTAACATTTGTTGTTGTTTTTTCCACTGTTGTACTGAATCTGTACTGTCACTCATACTGAGATAATACCAAACTGTGACTCATACTGTTACACTACTAAAAACATGTAATCTTTATTWAAAAAAARGACAATTGCRTCAGCGCTGTGTATTTGCAGTTCAGTGATTGGTTAGTCTGTATGAAAGTTGTGATATTCCAAAAAAAAGGCCAAGAATATGATTCCTGTTGCTGTCTAATTATAAATACATTAGCTAAATAAACTCAAAGAACAATCTAATGCTGTCAAATGTCTGAATCACATWCATTATTATCAACTTAGAGATGCTATATAATTACATCATGTTCATTTTTGTCACAAACGCACAGGCTGATATGAAATTCTCCTTGTTAGACTGRGCTAAAAAGCCAAGAATGTGTTTTTCCCCATCTCCAAATGCATTTTTAACAAYATATCTCCCTACTCTTTTCCAAATATCATAGGTACTCTTGGCATTTTGTTCCACATGTGGGAGTAACTTCTGACCYCGACTGCTGAGTGGTGAGTGTATGATATGAGCACATTAACATACCATTCAAAGCAGATGTTGTGCTAATGCCTATTATGTTAATTGGGATGCTAAAAGGCGCTTATTAGCTGGTATTAATATTCTCTGATGTATCTGCAAACTGTGAACTTTTCCAAACAGCCATCAGCAGCCTGTAAAATTAAACACCCCACCATGAACTTGAGAGAGGTCGGTAAACTGTCTTAAAAAGATATGTAAAACAAAATATGGTAATTTTAGCTCCTTGAATGTAATAGTTATGAGGCTATGAATCCTGAAAAAAGTATGTTTAAAAGAGGACAGGAGTGTAATTGTCTTACCTTGTTTTAGGGGATGTCGTTAGCCATTCTTCATGCTTTTCAAATGTTATCAAGTAAGCTGCAATCTCCTGCGAAAGAGTGAAGAGAGGGAAGAGGAAAGGAGTGAGGCTTAGATATGTCATCTTTAATCACTGTTCTCTTGTGTTTGTAATACATTTGTGAGGCTGCTTCATTGATATTCAGACAGTCTAACCAGCAGAACAAACAAAAGAAAGATGGAAACAGGGCCGGTGCTGTGGAGTTCAGGCAGGTAAACGCACCCTGGTAGAAGTAAAATGAAAGACAGAAGTGGGATGCATCTGAGGTCAGATCATCTTCTGAGACCATCTTTGTTATGAAAGCTTTGATCAAGTTCTCCTCTGAGGACATCAAGGTGCTCTCAGAGAGATTGACATCTCTGTGTTTGAGAGCGAGGAGCTTTTAACATTTTAGGTCCGATCCTCCCCCAAATCCCTTTGATCTGCCCTTGACACTCTTCTATGGATCAATCCACTCTTTAACCTTTGAATAATAATTACACACAAGTCTCACAATATTGACATGCATTTGTTCTGCTTTACTTCAGAAAAAAGCTGCGGATCCTTTGGAGTCAGTTGTGTACAAAAAATGAAGCTATATGCACTGAAACACTGATAATTTTTTTAAAAAGCCTAAAATGCCACTGGCATAAACAACAACACTTCAAACATGTTTCCCAAGCTCACTGTGCCAACTGCATCTGTTTGAGGGGGGACAYGTTAGCCCATACCCAGCCATTTTCTCACCAAACTAATGGGCAGAAATAAAAGAACTTTGGATAATGGCTGACAACCCATTGATTACCAGTGACAGGCGGCAATTCACTCTTCACAAGAACATTTTGTCAGATTCTTACAGAGAGCAAGACACTGGGACAGACATGCTTACACAATAACATTGTTTTCTTATTTTCTCAGAACGTCACTCTCTCCTGATGTACCTGTCCATACRAAGCAATACTGTCCACAGATATTAAAGGGGACATATCCAATTTTTTGTCCGTTAATTSCATTTTGTTGTGTACTTGGAGTCTCTAGGAGTGCATAAAATTTKAACTTGTTCTCTCTCGGTTCTGTGTAGATATCTATATACTTTTTAGGAAAGTTTTGAACTCGTTTAGTAATTAATTTGTAAATAAAGTTTCTGCACAGCTTAAGTCCTTTTAACAAAATGGAATGAACCAGTCTGGAGGCTGCAGGGGKGCAGGGTGTGAAGTGTCTCGTTTGGATTGAAAGARACAGCCAAAAAATGAGTTGCTTTGAGACACATCTCAGAAAARGGGACAAATGGGGGCTTGTGGAGTTACAAAAAGGAGGAAAGACCAAAGCATTGCAGTTCCACTGAATGATTTAAATATGGAAAGGATTTAAAAGCATGATACATAACCCTAAAGTTTAACAATACGTGGAAGTGCCAAAATCTGCAGTTCCTCTAATGGCCACATGAGGCTCTCAGCATGTTACATTAACATCCCCAATATTACAACAAAAAAGTGTATTTTTATTTGTTAAAAAGTCACTTGATTAAACAGAAAAATAATACTTAATTAAAGGTGCAGTGGCTTTTAATTGACAAGGGACCATTACAGAGTGGATATTAAAAAAACAGTGTCTTCACATTCCTCACTCTGTTCCTTCTATGTCACTTATACCAGGAAWAAACAGACATGTTAGTGACTAAATCATAAAGTATTTGCTTAAAATGAAAACTGAAGCTGTGACAAAGTCCAAGTTGATACAAATTTTTAAAAAATGCTTTAGACTTGTTTTTTTCCTTATAAATACAAGAGGTTTCCAATTGACTCATTAATGGCGTGTCACCAGTGTGACCTGGCACAAGACACAGCTGACTGGCAATAGCCCACAGGGATGCTGCAGGGTGTCTCAGTGTGAAGGGTTCCCAGGCTGGCAGGCATCCCAAATGAGAAAGGAGTGGTAGCACGGCGGGTAATACCGCCTCCAGGTGCTGGCTGGGAGATTACGCTGTGTTGATTAACTTACTGTTCCCCTGGCCTAACGACCAGAGGCATGAAAGCCATAAGAAGACGGATTTTTAAATTCAAAACGACTCAAAGGGGGTRAAGGTTGACAAGAGGAGCTCTGAGCTGCTTCTATGCTTCATAATTTCCAGTATATAACAGGAAAATGAACAATGAGGTGGATCCGTGGTCAGTGGTGCGGTTTTGTAAACCTGAGGCTGCAAATTCAAGCCTGGAATGMGTAAAACAATTGCCAGATTATTTGCAGTTGCATCCCGTGAAGAACGGGAGCTGCTGATAAATAAACAAAAGAAAAATGAACAGTGACAAAAAAACTAAAATAAAGTGCCAACAACTAATGTGGASTAGAAGCAGCATTACTTTCACCCATATTTGTTTTAAAAATACGAAAAAATTATTGATTTTATTGATCTTAGCTTTTCTGTGTCCGTTTTTGTAGAACTAAAGGGTAGTAAAAACCCTCCTTTGGTGACCTTTGTGACTCTTTGCACACAGTCCTTCCATCACTCCTGTCTTTAAAATTGAGCCACASCCATTGCCTCAGTGGAGGGTGTGTGTGTGTGTGTGTGTGTGGGGGGGGGGGGGGGGTTGAAATAGGGGACTACATGGTCTCGTATTTCGAAAGATTTAAAAAAAAAGAAAAAAAAGTGCACCTCTACCTCTGGCTCTTCGCTCACCACTCCCTGTCGGAACAGATGCCAGGGATTATTCCAAGCCCCCGACCAGCCATAAAGGTGCAATAATCTTATGGTGAGGAAACAAACAAAAACAGACGTGCAGCCATTAAACAGCTGCAAAGAGACAAAGTTTGCATGGGGCGGCTATACATGAGGCTATAGTGCGCGTCTGGGTTAGGCAAACACACTTGAGAGTTGGTGCGAGAGGCAGGGAGGGAGAAAGTGTAAGCAGACTGCTGAACACTGATGGTGCATCAAAGTCAAAGCAGCTGCCGTCAGTGAGCCCTGGACTCTATCTGCTGACCTCACTGCCTCTGGCCCGCTCTCCGCCACTGGGGAAATATTCAAAGGAGGCTCTCTGAACACACACCTACCACCTTTAYTCTACTTAAAGKCAGAATCWRCCTCATGCAAGGTWGTTTGTACTTCACTCCTTTGTGAATCACCCTTCTCACTGACACAACCCTCGGTTAAGGTTGTATTCACGAGTATTCACACGCTGTCATRGTTTGTGTTGTACACTGCTTAGCTCAAATTAAGGCAAACTCCCACAGAAATCTGATCTCAATAAAAAAAAACAGCAAAAAGCTTGCAGTGAAGCAGAGACTAAACAATAACTTTTCCAAATGACATGGTGGTTGCAAATAAGGGTGCCTTTCATTTTCYGGGGGAAACAACAACCCGAAGCTTGTTTGTTCTAACTCAGCCATCTCATTTGCTTTTGTCTCTGTAAAAGCTATGACACACTGTTAGCAGAGGGGGCCGCGCTGGAACATGACGGAGCGGTTTCAGGGCTGATGGCGAGGCGGGAGTGTTTGCTTCAGTGTTACAATCAGTAGGTCTGATTACTGGGTACCTGTCTGCGCACGGCGCTTCATTAACACACTTTCAGGGGCTGTCACTCCCACACTCATCAGTTTGTGCCCCCMTTTTGTAGCCTCTACAAAGTTCATGCCTACCCTCACTCCATTTTTCTCCCTCTCTTTCCCGTAACCGCTGAGGTGAAAAGGAAAGCCACCATGAGAAAATTTCCATTTGGAGATGACTGGCTTTTACTGTCTCGCTCTTCAAATGATATTTCCATTCTGAGGGTACAACATTTCCTCCAGTGAGAATCATCTTTTGAAAAGTCTACCTATTTGAAATCGGATATGACACTAACATATTCATCCCATTTCATGTTTTTGCGTCAAGACGGGCTGGTGTGGGAGCAGGAGCAATAAACTTTTAGAAAAATACACAYACTGCTTGACTCAACCCCAATTCTAATAGTATTTATTAAATGTGATGACTTCAGCAGAAACTCTGCTTGGGCCTGATCAGATGAATGTCTCTAAAGCATTTCACTTTCCCATCGCACAAAGGGTTCCAAACACAGATCTGTTGTCTAATGGACAGGTTCCAGTGTAGATGTATAGTTCCTGAATGACTGGCGGTTAGTTGTTTTGTTTTTACCTCTCTTATTCTGCAATCTTTGATTTATGAGAGCAAAGAGATGTGTTGAGAAGAGYGTTTGGGATGACAAGCCTGATCACTTAAAACAACTGTCACTGTGCCATTAGGAGTAGAGATAGGTTTGTCTGGGCATTATCTCAGGACAGATCAGGCACCTGTCTCTAAACACCATCCATAATGTTTCTGCTCTCCGGCTGCAATTTGTGCATTTAGGCTGCCAAGAAATAAGAGGCGAGATACTTTTCTGTGCAAACTTTCAAGTTAAAAGAAACACCTGCATCTTAAAGTTTAGTCACTTTACTATGATGTTGTCATCACTCCACCAAATACATAAATACCATAAAATAAATGTATGTTTTAAGAATTACATCATACGTTTGCCAATTACAGTATTATTCCAGTTACAGTGGTGCTCCAGTGACACTAATGAAAATGCACTTAATAAATAGCTGTATTAGAAAATCTAACTTTAGCAACAGTATTGATTTCAGTAAAAGCTCGAGCTAATGAAATGAATATGAGGGAGCAGGGAGATGTGAAAGAGTAGATGGAGGGAAGTTTGGTTAGAGAGCAGAGCACAGCGCCTCCAGCCTGCCTCGTGGTGAAGTCTGGGGAATGCATCCTCAAAGCTTTGACCTTGCCCTGCACTTGAAAGCAGGAAGTGGATGAAAACGAAGGGGGGTGGGGCAGAACGGATACGGTGAGAAGAGCCCTCCCTGATGACCCTAGGTTTCACTGTGGAGTGCCAGGTTATCTGATATTTCCTCCAGGGCAGCCCAGGAAACCAACCTGACCAGGGGCAGGCATAAATGGACTGGTAGTGCGTTTGTGGAGGGCGGGGGGTGGGGTGGGGGGGGGGGGTCCACTGAAGCACCAGGCAATCAAGAGATTACACCCACACACACTCGCACACAAACGC